CCGCGCGCCACTCTCTCTCTCTCTCTCTCTCTCTCTCTCTCTCTCTCTCTCTCTCTCTCTCTTTCTAGCTCCCCGTATAGCTCCCACATCTTTCGTTCTCATTACACATTTGCCGCGCCAGATAGTACAATGACGCAGCTTTTATCCTTTGTTTACGATAAACAGAAGCGTTACGTCAGTAATAGTACTTAAACCTTATATATGCGCACGTTTTGGCACGATCCCTGCGCCAAACGCGCAAATAGAGATCTATTATGTGAAAATGCTTCAACGAAGAAGCAGCGCAAAATATAGCACTATATGTATTCTTGTATTACGTGCACCAAACTCTTGATCTCTTTTGCCCTTGTCGGCCAAACATTTGTAAGATTTGTCCAAGTATTTAATTCTTAAGTATTGTATTTCAATATGTAATTTTTGCAATTGCATAATAAATGAAAATAAAACTTCGCAACAAGTTATACGGTCTTCCTGTTTACATGACAGTGCAACTGAGTGCAACTTCTTTAGAAAGTTTCAAGCGACTGTTACTTTAACAGAAAACCCCTATTCCCGTAGCTTATTGAGCACACAGCTTTAAAATTTAGTAAAATATGAGAGAAACTAGACAGCCGAAATTTTCAAAGGAGGAATCGGCTTGAAAAAAAAAGGACACAATTGTGACGCGAAAGAAAAATACTATTGTGACGTCCTGCCGACACGAACAAAAGGAAAAGATGAACAAAGTCCAGGGAATGCAACCGAACGCACGGGCTCATTGTATAATAAGAAACATTTAAGCGTTTTCGTCTCGTCGGACGGTCGTCAAATAATCGGTTAAATATCCCTCTCGGGATCAAAGACACATATACACTCTAAACGCGCTCAGTCACGTTCAATGCGTGCAGCATCGATTGCCCGCATTGCTTTTCGCACCCGCATACCGTTAAGTCCGCGTCAGGCGGCCCGACCGTGTTATTGTCATACCCATAAAAATTGTCATCGCGCGGCACCGAGACTCCAGTTTACCGAATCGGAGCACAAACGGAGCAGTTCTCACAATTATGTGTGTATATATATATATATATGGAACACTTCGAGAGAGAGTCGAGGAAGTTGGGCAGTGAAACGAGACGGGACGATAACGTCACCTTATCACAAAAGGAAGTGACACCGCCGACCAATTCACTTTTTCGACAATCTGTAACGATCGTATCGTTGCGCGGCGTTATTTCGTCATTTCATCGCTGACGAAATGCCGCAGATAGCATCCCACGATCTAATTTCTCGTTTTCTCTCTCTCTCTCTCTCTCTCTCTCTCTCTCTTCCCAGTTTCGCAGACGCAGACGTCTGTCTGTGCCAGCCTGTGATGGCGAGACGCGTCACCGAAAAACCGGGGCGGTTCCACACGGCGGTCCCCTTTTAAAAGTCCGCTCGCCGGCGACGCGCGCGTGACGCGTCAGTGATAAGGCCGCTGCCGATGCGCGCGCATCGTGGCCGTTCACTGTTGGGGCGACTGATAGCTCAGTACGCTGGTAACAGGTGGTTCGCCGCTATTGGCGGAGCGGGACGGCGATTGAAGTGCCTTGCGGCGCCAGCACGTGCGGGCCGCACCGCGCCGCGCCGGTCCGGCATTCACGCGGAGAACGTCGTACCGCGCGCATCCGCCTCCAGTTTAAACCCGTCCGCGGAAGCGCGTTCCTCCAGTCTCTCTCTCTCTCCGCCGCCGGCGGCCTGCATCAGCTCCGTCGTTTCTCCAACTCCCCTTTGGCAAGGGGGCAGGAGAGCCTCTGTGCGAGCGCGCGCCTATATATACCGTTTCGAAAAATCGATACGCGCGTTATACATAATTATCAGTATATACCAACTCCGGGTGCGTGCGTGCGTGCGTGCGTGCCCGCGTTGTTGTGCGTTTTTTTTTTTTTTTTTTTTGCGAAACAGTAGAGCCGGTTCCTCGCGATTGGCGCGGGCTCCAATCGCGCCGGCAATCTCGCGGGTGTGCGCGCGGGTGTTGGCTATCGATCCCTGCCGGAACCCCGCTTTCCTCGCCCGGTAACCGTACGTTCGTCGCGTTCATTGGCGCAGTCGTCGTCGCCGGGGAAAGCCGCTCGCTCGCTCGCTCGCGGAGAAGCGAAGAGTATTGTATACAGTGTTGTGCCTTAAAGTAACATTGCCTAGAGAAAATTGTCCATTTGTGATTCCCCGCCCGCCCGCCCGCGTCAACGGAGAGCTGGTCAACGAGCGAGACCCTCCCTTTCCTTCCACGCACGGTCTCTCGTACGGTGAGTAACGACTGCCATCAGCTACGATCCTTCCTCCTCCTCCTCTGCCTCTTCGTCTTCTTCTCCTCTTCTCTTCTTTTTTCTTCTTTTTTTTTCCATCAATCTGCCCGCCGCCGGTACCGCTATACTCGACGGACGCGGCGCGCGAAGACGCGCGGCGGACGCGGCTTATAATACCGGTGCACGTGCACACGCCGCGCCGCGCCGCGCCGCGCCGCGCTGCGCCGTGCCGGCGCGGCGGCGCTCCGCCGTTCCATCTGGTGCGCTCCGATTACAACAACCGGATCTATCATCGCGCGCGGGGGCCACCCCGCGCGGCGCAGCTAATCGCGTACACCGGGCGCGCGATGAGCCCCCGAGAGATTCTCAGCCGCGAGATTTCTCTCTCTCTCTCTCTCTCTCTCTCTCTGAGAAAGAGGGAGAGAGCGAGAGATCTCGCGGCTAAGAATCGCTCGGAGGCTCATTATTCGAGCGAGAGAGAGAGAGAAAGAGAGAGAGAGAGAGAGAGAGAGAGAGAGAGAGGGAGAATGAGCGGCGCGCGAGGAATGTGGAGCTCTGCCCAGCTGCCTCCTCCTCGCGCCGATTGACGGACCTCTCTCGGGATGGCTCTCTTTTCCTCTCAGCGTCACGAAAATCGATTCGTCTTTGGTCGAATTCGCGCGGAGTATAATATAGAGG